ATTATTATTATTATTATTATTATTATTATTATTATTATTATTATTATATTCTATATGTTTTATTTATGCTCTTGATGCATTTTAATTTAAAACAGAATAATTCTGTTTTAAAGGGAACTTTAAACAAAGATACGTGAGGAAATGATTTTGATATTGAATTAATGAATTAAAATATGAAATGGAAATTTATTTGAAGATTAGTGGAGTGGATAATAATTTGATGTGATATTAAATAAGATAGTTGAAAATGTAAGTATAATTATGTATAAATATTGTAATCTGGAATCACGTTGCTCACATGAAGAGATATATAAAAAACAAAAATAAAAAATGTTATAAAGAAGATGGCCTTATTTCAGTCAAGCTAACTGATGAATTATTACTTATGTTGTTGCTTTCGGGAGGGAGGTTGCAGATAGTTAGCCCTAAATGAAATGATGGTTTCTCTTTTCAGAAGACAAAAATGCCTTGTTGTAAAAATAGAGCATCCCCAAATCTCATCAACCATCCCAAACTGTAAGTTATAAAATCTCTCTCATAGATATTTATTCAATTCATCAGATGATGAGTATATGATCCATGAAAATATATGCAATAATAAAATTAGTGTCTAAGACAAGGGTCTTCAAACTTGCCAAGTTTAAGACTTGTGGACTTCAACTCTCAGAATTCCATGACTGGAGGAGGAATTCTGGGAGCTGAAGTCCACAAGTCTTAAGGCTGTCAAATTTGAAGACCCCTGGTTTAAGATTTCACAACTCTCTCTCTTTCTCCTCTAAATGATTAATAGTTACCTCTTTGCAGATTATTTGATTTACTTTTTATGATACAATAATAATTCTCACTATACATACGTTGGAAATAAACAAGAAATACAACCATTCTCTTTGAAATCATAGTCATATATATCTGCAAAATTTCTACCTAATTCTCTCTGTGTTTCTTGTCAGCAGAATACATGTTATATAAATACAGTTTTGCTATTTTGGATAAATCATCAACATCATCATTATTGCCACCATCACTGCTACTGTTTTCATATAGCCTGAATTTTAACATCTAGCCTCTTATGTAGGTAAAACACTGAGAATTTGGACATGTTATTGTGGAGAATTAAATGAGTTATTTAAAACATGAATGTTCATGCTCCCCTTCAATAAAACTGTCAGGATAGATTACGATAAAGTAATAAAAGCAAAAAATGATAG